TGTAAACTTTCCTTTGTATTATCTGCTCTTACACATTTTATTATGGACAAAAGGAGAGTTAGGATATTAACAAGGTATTTGCCTGACCGAAAAGGAAACATAAATACTATATTTATGTTGGCATGTATAAAGTTAACTGTTGTATCGTTGTATACAACACTATACTCCACTACTGCAACTACTGTCATTTTACTGTTTGTGCCTGGCTAAAATCTTGGGTGTGAGTGGAGGTGTGTGTACTTGTACACTGAGAAATTAGACAGTAAACGTTTGTTTGAAGAGGATGGAAAACAGCTTTTTTTTATTTACTGTTTGCTGATCTGGATTGTAGATTATCTTTGGAAATAACTCTAATGTGTCTCAGTTGTGCATTTCAGTTGGAGATTTTATGTTTATGATACTGTGTAATGCTATGAGCTAAGAAGAGTGTTAATTAGGTTAAGACACTTGGATGCCAGAAGATGGTATGGAATGCACGGTGATGTATTTGACTTTTCTAATCAAGCATCAAGAAAATTTATTTCGGCTGGTTTCAAATGGATGCTGTAATTGTTAGTATAGTTATATATGTTTTGGAAAGGAAAGAGTTTCATGTTGTTCTTGAAAGATGGCAGGGGAGAAGGGAGAGAAAACATTTGCTTTATTAGAGCAAGTCTGATCCTTAGCTAACTCAAAATCGCAACTTTTCTTAATTTCATAGAGTTGAAATGGTGTTAATGGAGACATTAATTAAATGTGATAATTACTATAGAAGATTGGCTGTGTTGCAAAATGGAATCTTCCTTTTTAATCCTGTGCTATATCTATTTTCCAAGTCCAGCGTAGAGTTGAAACCTCATTGCAGTTCAGACTATCTTGGATTCAGCAGTTTGGATCTGGAAACTACTTATAAAAATGTTAAAGTGAGTCTTGACATGGCAGAATCTCAAATCTAGTAGGCATTGCGTCACAGACTGGGTTTTGAATTGATTCCCAGAACCATGCTTTTTGTGTTTTCTGCTGATTTTCTTGCATTAGTGAGGGAGATGTAATTTTCATTTGAAAGACTTGAACATAGTTACAATAATTTAACCTTGACTCTGAGCTGTCCTATGACCTGTTCATCACTAGAGAGAGTGTTAGTGAAGGCCTGCTCACACAGTTGCATCGCTAGTTTTACATAACTGTATTTGCTGATGCCCTTCTTGGCCATTTTCCAGTTAGGAATCACTCGCTCCAGATTTAACTGCTTCCAAAATAATTATTAAGCTGAGGAAAGTCACAGTGATGGTGCAGTAAACATTTCCATGGGGAATTGTGTAACTGAATTGGAGGATTTATAACACAATTTGAATTTCCCTATGGTGCATCAGAGATGTATATTTGCAATTGCTAAATCTTAAGGTATGCTAATAAGCATTTTAAAAACAAGTCTTTTTATCCCTCTTCTTTGAAGAAAGTGGGACTAATAAGGAAGGTCTAACTGTAAGAGGAAAGGGTGAGAAGTGCTATAAGAGAACATCTTGAAGGGACAGTAGCATGCTGTCTGCCTTATCAGGCCTGTTTTGGGGATATGGACTAATCTTATTGAACCTGTTCTCATGATCTACTTTGCCAGGCATACAGCTGGGAGGCACAGAGCTGATTGCAAGTCACAGCCACTGTAAAACGGCTCGGGGTTAGACGTCGCTAATGGTGAAAGCTTGCATACAAGTGACTAAATGATATTTAGTCACTTCTCTTTAGAGGTAGACCTCCACTTGCAGATTGCTCTCTGCATACAATTTTAACTTGGTGGCCTTTTAAAGATCTTGAGCAAATTTCCCTAGCAGCCTGAGCTGTAAATGCTTGCTTGCCTGGGTTGTCAGAATTCCTAGGTGACTGCTATGCAGGTATGTGCCTTTTTATACTGACTCAGCAAGGTTTTAGTATGTGATTAATTTGGTGGTATGGTTTTGGTGTTTACATACAATCTTTAAGCCTTTAACTTGTGTGAAGTACCTAAAACTCTGGTTCTCCAGAGCATCATCTGCTTCAGTCTTGGAAGCTTCCCAACAGCAAACATCAGTTTGGCAGCCCTTTCATATGCTCATTCCCTTGAAGTTCAGGCACTGCTCCAAACATAAAGTGGTATTATGCATAAAATAAAATGGAGGTATGGGGGTGAATACTGTGTAATTGTCCTAGACACCGTTGGGTATGTATTTATGGTTCGCCCTTGTAAAAGCCCACATAGCTTGTCCTGGCAACCTGAGGCAATAGGTATTGCTGGAGCAACCATGATCAGTTTTTATGCAGCTGAGGCCAGCTCAGGTAGGGCAGGATCCCTGATTCAGGGCAAGCCCATGGGTGTGCAGCCTGGGGGTTCTGCTAGTGGCTCCTTATGAAGAAACTGCCGCACAGCAGGCATTTATCCAGCTGTAGGTGGGTGTGACTGCTGCAGCCGCTCTGATACTCGCTCCAAGGCGCTTTGTGACTCAGTACTGGGTCTGGGAACCAGAGTGGCACGGAGCAGCGTGAAGTGTAGGGGGGATGTTGCTGAGCTGTTACACCATGTGGGGGCTGAAAGTCTGCTCAGTGAGTTTGAGAGTTTTGCTTATGGGTTGGATAGAATTGGCATTAAAAGATTTTATTGATTTAATATATATATTGTTGGCTTTTATTCATGTTTGGAAGATGCATGTTAGGTTAGATTCACTGTGGCAGTGTATTTAGACCACTACAGTATTTAAAAATCACCAACTACATCTTGTGTATGCTGAACAAAGTGTAGTGTTACTGCATCTGTGGTATGGGATTACAGTAAATTAACTACACTGCTGTTTTCTGAAGTTTTGAAGTGACTAATAATCAAACTGTTCGAATAAGCCATCTGGTAAATTTTCAGCTTGTTTTTCTGCTTTAAAGAGGGAGATGATTTTACCTCATAGTAAAAATGCACTAATATGTCTGCGTTAAGCAACTTACAGAACTATATGAAGAAATTCTGAAGATTTTCTCTCAAGTTTGAGAAGGGTATAGTAAATAAGTAAAGACTATTAACAGAATGGTTAACATGGAAATATTAAACAGTTATCTCACTAATAATCAGTGACTAAAAAAATTAAGACTGTTGGTGTGACTGATTGAGGAGTACAGTCTTATACTTCTTGCATACATTTGTGGGTGTCTGTGTTTACAAATGTATATTAAAGTCTAAATTCTGGCATTTTCTAACATACATAACATGCAAAGTCACAGCATTCACTAGAAGCTCATTTTTTTTGTTGGTGTTCATGTGCATCAGAAGTGTGTGAGTATTGTGAGTATTGCTTTGACAAGCTCAAGTTACCCCCATGGTAAGTCAAGTAAGTCATTCCACCTGGCTCTGAGCAGGCAAGATACTTTTGGTATGGGACTAATTGTTGTGCGTTTGGAAGGCTGTATTTGAGGACAAGACTTCTTCCTTCCTTCCCCCCCGCCCCGAATCTTTAAAGAGAGTGGCATATTGTTTTAGCCAAAACAGGGTAGGAAAAGGTTCAGAGCTACTGATGGTTTGGCTTGCAATAACTCATGCGTGTGCAAATCAGCCTTTTAACTTTTGTAGGGTACTAAGCAGACTAGTCATGGTGTACCTCTGCTTTTGTGATGGACTGTTTTTCTAACCTGCAGGGTTAGAGGTAGGAAGAAAGAGGTGTGAAATAGTAATTTTGTCAATGTTTGTGTAGTCAGAACGCTCAGAAGATAGAATTTGCATTATAATATCTCACATTGTACACCATGATATATCATTTAGTCATCTTCTGCGTGTGTGGTTCTTGGAAGACTTAAAAAATACATTTGTTTTAATGGCTTCATTCACTCCCACCTATCAGTGGACTGTTCTTTATTGTAGTTGCCCATAAGATACAATCGTTGCCATTGGCAAAGCACTTTGACTTCGTATTTAGATCGCTATACAGTATGTGAAGCTACTGGTACCTAATGTAGTACCCCTGGGTATTTAGAAACTTCTCAGTAGGCAGAGGAAAAATAAAGGCAAGGAGAGTGTTGTACTTGGAATGTCTAGCTTTTTCACTGAAATGTGTAAGAAAATTATTTTTCTTAGTTTGGTGTGATTTATGTGAACTTTTTAAACTTTGGAAGAGGAAATCATATAAAGAAGAATGAAAGAGTTTTTATTTTTACTTGCTTAGAAATTTTCAAGGAATGGGAGGCCTTAAGAGTAGGAAATTTAAAATAAGATTGGGAAGGGTTTAATTGAGGGCCTTGTTTAATTTTAATTAGAACTGTTCAGGTGTAATTGGTGACTTGAGCTTAGGCACAAATGTAGATGTAAAAGGCATTGAGAATTACCTCCCTTCTCATTTCCCAGCTGTTCTTTTGTGTTCAAGTGTTTTCACAGCAAGGAAGAAAGCTGGGTTACCTTCAGAAGCAGTTGTTAGGGAGGCCAGAAGCAGGTGGCGGTTTGGGAAATGCTACTTTGGTATTCTAGATGTCAATACCTATATTGCAGAGACTGGGGTGCAGGAAAATTAATTTAATCTATGTGCATAAACATAAATAACTACCTAGAACCAGTTGCAAGTAGTCTCAAAAGAATTAGGAAAACAGCATTGCTCCAGTGAACTTAAAACCTGATTTTGTTTATCTGATTGTGTAGGCTGTTGATAAACCCATTTAAGCTTTCTGACTTAATGTTGAGGAGATGATGTCTCTTAATTACTGAGTTGACATGTTGGGACTTGTCCAACCATCACAAAATATAAAGGCTACTTGTTTGTTTGTAGTGGAATGGGTAAGACTAGTGAAGGGACATACTGCATTATTGTAACTAGAAAGGCAAAGTGAGCTTTACGGTGTGCAAAAAAGAAATATGCGTATTGTCTCGTGAAATATCTCTGCATCTGAACTGTGCTGTGGTCCAGGCTGTGGACAACTTTCCTCCTCCCCTCTCCTTTCCCCTTCTAGCTCCTTAGAATGCAGATGGTTGATTTCTTTGGAAACTTACATGGTGAACAGTCTTTCTTTTTTTCCTTTAGGGACCAGTTACTCTCCACAAGAAAATTCACATAACCACAGTGCTCTTCATAGTTCAAATTCACATTCTTCTAATCCCAGCAATAATCCAAGCAAAACTTCTGATGCAGTAAGTATTTGTGATTGGTATTCATCCTTGTGTCACCCCATTCATACACACTACATTTGCATGAATTTGTCTAAAACAGGCGATGTGTACATTACCTGCTTCATTGAGTTTTCCAGCATCAGTCTTTATTTTCTAAACACTCTGCAAACCCAAGCTGCAGTTGTTACATGTTGTGAAACTATTCTAATTGATAATCATTAGACCTTTGAAGTATCTGTCTTGAATTTTAAAATACTAGGATATTTAAATGAAGTAGGTACAGAGAGAAATATTTTCCATGAACTTTGTTGGTAAATCTAGAGAAGACAGTGTGATTTTAGTTATTTAAGATACGTTCCACGTTGTGAATTTTAGTCACTTAATTATCCAAGTTTTAGTAGTTAGGGTGGTGTTTGTCAAAAATTGAAAAAAAGAATAGATGAATTCATGAGGTATCAAAATTTTTTTAAAATATAGTAATTTTTGATGAAGTTTTAAGGTACAGAAAAGTAATTTTACCAATATTGATATTACTGTATCTCACTAAACATACTATTAGATCTTTGTTTCAGGGCCAGTGGGAATAAAGCAGGAAACTATTGCACAATGCAACAGGAGCGTAGTGGTGACATCTTTAAACTATCAAAATGAAACAGGCATTTAGAGATGATGTGAATGGAAAGCAGTGATGTGGGTGCACATGAGGACGTCATGTTGTTTTAAAAATGGTGGAAGCTTTTGAATTTGTGTATTAAAACTCTCAAGTAGTCTTTTGTCCAACATTGTTTGTATTTTAAAGGCTTATGATTCTGCAGATGATTGGTCTGAACACATCAGCTCTTCAGGCAAAAAATACTACTACAACTGCCGAACAGAAGTGTCACAATGGGAAAAACCAAAAGAGTGGCTGGAAAGGTATATGTGTGTGTCTGTTTTCATTGTATAAAGAACAAATATTCTTAAGCTCATTTAAGAGCAGTTGACATTTAAGAGCAGATTAGCTATCTAGTAGATTACTGCTGTAAAAGATTGTGGTCCAAGTCTGCTGTGTTCCTACCCTTACTGTGACCTCTGGCACCTATTTTATCCCTTGATGATCCAGAGTGAGAGCGGGAAGTATGTTTGGTTTGGTGTTTTGGTTTTTTTTGGTGGGGTGGTTTGTTTTGTGGGGGGCAAGGAGGTGTTTGGTTTTTTTCTTGCAAGGTTAGCAAGCTGAACTGATACAGCAGGGGCTTCAACAAGCACTGATGTAAGGAAGTTTGGGAGTATGGGAGTTTGCCTACCCCATGTGTAGCAGCAAGCTCTTAGGATAGTTTAATTAGTTTAATTCATCTCCTCTGACTTCATCTGTAGAAAGTATTATATTATTAGATGATGTAAGTTCTTACTTAATCTGTGTTTTCTTTCCTTCAGAGAGCAGAGACAAAAAGAAGCAAGCAAAATGTCAGTTAACAGTTTTCCAAAAGATAGGGATTACAGAAGAGAGGTGATGCAGGCGACAGCTGCCAGTGGGTTTGCCAGTGGAAGTATGTGGTTTTTCTACAGTAATATATTCTTGCCTTGTTTGCATTACCGTTTTATTTTCCAAACTTAAAAACAAATTAAAAAATCCCTTTCCATAGCTGTTTTTATCACCTTTCTATATAAAAAGGCCATGGCAGATAGCACAGACAGCTGTCCCAAGTGTTGTTTCTTAAAATAACTTTGAGCCTCTACTAGTGCAGTGCTTGCTTAATGCTTTTGATAGTACTCTTCCTTTTTGCAGCATTACTGCTCAATTTAATTATCTTTATAGATAGTTATTGAAATAACTTGCACAGTTTATGGTATAGTCAGACTGTTGTGATCATTGAGACCTGTCAATGTCATATTCTGAGCTTAAAATTGGAGATACAGAAGTCTCTTGTAAAAGCTTTGATTTCACATCTGAAAATAATAACCTAATTTCATGGATTATGATACCAGGATTTTCAGATGCTTGTGTACATTATTGAAAGCATATTTTTACCATGCCAGTACTCTTCGTGAAGCCTTTCCTGGTCTATAGATTTCTGTTACTTGGAATTTTTTTTCCTGATACCTAGCTTTAATCTTTGTCAAGTTTTTCTGGGAAATGGCTGTACTGTGAGATTCTTCCTGTATGCTGATGTCGTTTGGGTGAATTTGTAGCATAGTTCTCAGGGTGGTTTAAAAGTAGAAGCCAAAGTATTAATCTCCCCTCCCCCCCCACCTTGCTGGGGACTTGACAAGGCAGAGATGTATAAAGGACTTGTTTTTCTGCATGTGCTGAAACATACTACATGTGCTAAAACATACTGTATGCTACAAGAAGGTAGCAGAAATGCATATTGCAGTAACTGTTCCTTTTGTGGCAGGTGAAAATTTAGGAATCAGTAAGAAGAATTACTGTATATTTGCTTGGTATGTTCCCTGTGTAGGATATTTTAAAGTCTATGACTGTGTGACAAATGCAGATTAGTCACTCGTTTAATATACAGTCGTCTTGAATTAATTCAATTGAAAGTAAATTCTTTGTAGTAGTATTCAAGTGACTTAAAGTAGAATTCTTTGAAGGCTAGAATTTGAAATTATTAAATTATACTTGATATTCAGGATTTTCAATGCACAAAAGAAAAATGGCATGAATTATCTCTTCACGCTAAGTGTAAGATGGAAATAATAGATTTTGATTTAGATTTTTTTAGGAGACTTCAAAAGTTAACTTGACTGTAACACTTGTTATAAAGCGGCCTTTCATCAAAACACAGTGCTTAACCGGAACTCTAAATCAAGCAAAGGTCAGAGAAAATGCATTTTGTCAGTGAGTAAAATGAAATTTTGCCTATTTTGATGATGATCTGCTTGAGGCTTTTTTTTAATCATAAGAAGTTCAATCAGCTCTAGTTGTTGATGTGCAGCTGCATTAATCAAAGACACTGTAATCTTATACAAGTTTCTAATTTAATCTTTTTTTCTCTTTGCAACGTTACTTGGGGAATCCTGAAAAAAGTGGAAGACAAGCATTCCAGTGACGCCAGTAGTATGCTCCCACAGAATATTTTATCTCAAACAAGCAGGCACAATGACAGAGACTACAGACTGCCAAGAGCAGAGACTCACAGTAGTTCTACTCCAGTACAGCATCCCATCAAACCAGTGGTTCATCCAACTGCTACCCCAAGCACTGTTCCTCCTAGTCCATTTTCTCTACAATCTGATCACCAGCCAAAGAAATCCTTTGATGCTAATGGAGCATCTACTTTATCAAAACTGCCTACATCCACATCTTCCATCCCTGCACAGAAAACAGAGAGAAAAGGTATGTGTAATAAAATTCCTCCTAGTATTTAAGATGATGCATTGCATTTGCTTGTTTAAAGTATGTTAGTTCTAGAATTTAAAGATATTTTTCCTGTTGATTGTCTGTGCTTAGAACCTGATTACTGTTTTGATGTGTTTATTTCCCCTTAAACCACATTTGGTGTATCTTCAAAAACTTCAAATTGATGCTGCAGTGTATTTGCTGTTTACAGGCTTATTCTGCAAATTACAATTTCAAATGATAATTTGAAAGACGCATTTTAGTAGGACATATTTTATTTTTCTTCTCCCTCATGTTGTTTTGGATCTTTGCCATTGTTTGAGTTCTTAACATGGATGTAGTTACACCATTTGAAAGTCATTTTGGACCATTATATTTTATGAACTGCTGTTACTGTTTGGAATGCCACTGTCAAACTTTTCAATAAACACAAGTGCAATTCTTACAGAAAGCAACAGAGCTTTCCACATGTCTGTAGCAGCTGTTGTTCTGTTTTGATCTGTGTCTTGTGATACACTGGATCTTCAGTTCTAAAGCTGTTGAAAGTTTGTATGTCTGTATAGTATGTACCAGAAACATTTAGAGTCATCAAGTGAAGATCAGGACTTTACGCTGCGTTGTTTGTTACTCTTCAAAATTCTATATTTTAATTGGATTTAGTTCATTATTAATGAAGAAAAGCTCAAGAACATTGTGAGAACGTAGTTGTGTGTTATTAGTGATGATGTGATACTTCGGTATAATCAAATTCTTGGAGTAATACTTTGTAAGAAAATTTTATTTTGGGGGGTTTTTGGGGGGGGGAAAGTAGTTTTTGATAAACGTGTCTGGTTTTAATTTAAAATATTGCATAATTAATATGACACTGAATTCTTTTTTGAAAGATGGCTCATTGCCCTGTTGATATTTGCAAGTCTGTCTAGTAACAGAAGTGCAGTGCTAAAAGAAGACCAAAAAGACTTGGCTCTGACATTGGCCTTATACTCTGCATTTGCTTTCCTGCCTTCTAGTTTTCTTTATTAAAGAATTCCAGCTTTTACACAGAGATAAGTGCACTTGGCTATCCGAAATAACCACACAGTACCATACATTGGCAAGTAATGCAATGTAAGAAAATTGTGCATGTAAAGAAATCTTGAATGTTTTTCTTGAGACTTTGTCCAACTTCTATGTGACCTGGTATGTGAATGTTGACTACAAACTACAGAGGAACAGAAGATTTTCAACAAACCTTTTTCTATTCAACACTTCAAGTACAAGTGTTGAAAAACAATTACACAACTTCAAGTAAAGCAAGAAGGTGTACTAGTTTATGCGTGGTTCTTGTGCTGAATGCCATAGTTACCTGCTTCAGTTCAGCCTCTATATTTTGATTGCAGTTTGCACTTTTAAACACGACAATGCAGAACATGCATGTAAGTGTCCTCTCCTTTAGTGTATCCTCTCTGTTTTCATTACTATCTTTAAAATATACTTAAAGAAAACCCTTATTATTAATCAGTTCTGGCATGTACTTGATTCCTGTTTGGTGTGATCAGACTTCAAACTGGATATAGTCTTTCCGTGCTTTACTGCATACCTTTATTAGTTGCTTCCACTTAAATGGAGCAACTGAATCTTCCTGCAATAGAAGGAATTTCCCATTGTGACAACTGCTACAAATGTTGGCAGGGAGCTCTAGTATTTCTTACATAATTACATTCATTTGAGAACGTACAATTGGGTATGAATAGTGAAAATGATCACACAGGGTGGTCTTGGCACTCTAAACCTTACTTTAGAATCTGTGTTACCATGGATGATTCCATATTAAATAATCACTTAATTTCTGTATTAAGTTTGTATGGGTTAAATGAATAGATTCTCCGTGATACTCTTGTCTCATTGATGTGTTTCATGGCACTTCACTGTGAGCAAATACAATACTTCCTGAGCTTCGGACAGGGTGGTTTACAGGAAGTTAGTAAGTAATTGACGAATTAGAATAGATGAATGTTAGGCTTGAAATAATTATTCCAGAAAATGTGAGTTTTCACATGTTGGTTAACTACCTCTGTTCTTACAGAAGCAGAAATATTCAGTGCAGCTTATATTATGATAAATCATTCAAAGAATATATTCAGTAGTCTTGCCTTTTTTTATGAATGTTGGAGACTTTTTTTTAAGACATTTGACCAGTATAATTCTGTAGCATTTTATGTATTTAAATTTCCAAGAAGGGAGGAAGCGGTGCTGTACATGGGGATGTTTTTTGGATAGTTTGCTTCTGTTACTTATTTTGCCAGAGGTGACTGTGAACCTGTAGCACTATAGGTATTCTGTATGTTTACTATAGGTTTAAAAGTATTTGCTTGTACCTGTTATACCAAATAAAAAAAAAAAATTGTCCTGAGACACTCAGTTCAAACAGTCTTCTAAAAGTATCTTTGTAAAATTGGAAAATAGTTTGAGTCGTTTATTTTTACACTAGTAAAGCAAACAGCCTTTGATCTTTTTATGTTCACGAGCTGTGCCATCCCTCTCTCTTTCTAAAAAGAGGTAAATCTGTATTTTTTGCTTGTAAAAATAATTTGATCCAAATGACTGAATAGTATGTGCAGTAGTCCTTGCCTAAATGAGTTCTTGCTTCTTGTCAATGTGTTGCTGGCAGCCTTATGCCAGCATATATGTACCACTGTTTTAATAGTTCTGTTCTTAGTGTGTATTTTTTAATGCAGTAATAGTTGTGAAAAACAAAAAACAAAAAACCACAAAAAAACAACAACAACACTTTTTTCAGCTCAATCTCTTTTGCTGCAGGGGTATGTTGTAGTCCCACAAGGAGATTGAATAAAATCCCTGGCTGAACTATAGCTCAGCTGTTAGCGGTAGTCCTCTGCCCTCAATGGCTGGCAGTAGTGGAGAGTTCCTGGGGAACTATTTGACCTCTACCCTTTGGTTTGAATGTTCCAGTCAGAATCTGCTGCTTCTGTTTGTGCTCACTGTGAGTGCTTTATGCAGGTAAAGTGTGGGGTTGCTTTTCCTACTTTTTGGCTGCCTTATCTGTAGGGCACATCACATTTTCCTGTTTCTAACTCAGTTACTGAATGAAATGTTGTATTGTCTGTATCTTAACAGTGCATCTGTCTGTAGGATACTTCTCACACCCTTCCTTCAAGTCCCATCAGCACTTCTGTTTCTAGTGCAGCAGTACCCTGAAATTTTTCTAAGAGTGCTCAGCAAGCTGGCCAGTGCAATGCTGGGTGTGTTGTGACCCTGATGCTGACAGTTTGAGGTGGTTGGTCAGTGACAGCTGAGCTTCTTCCTCATCTTTTTCTCACCCCTGTGGTTTTCTTACTTGTAACACTTGCTGGTCTTCAGCAGTCAGTTATTAACATTGCCTCTGGTATCATTGCATCTTCTCTGGCTGAGCTGTTTTAAGTATATTACTCAATTCATACAGTGGTTAGAAAAAATTACACTAGTGAGACTGTTAGAGGTTTCTTCCAGTACTTTATGCTTGTTTGCTGAGCATTGCTGTTACATTTATTTTGGCAGCAGAGATAAAATTAAAAAATTGAGTTTTTAGATTGGAGTAATACATATGAAAAAAATATGGAATGTTTTGCATTTTAGAGAATTTGAATGTATTGCTATAGTTTCATTTGGCCAAATGTGTTTACAAAAGGCATTGCTTTTACATATTTATATATTTTGGTGTGGGTTAAATTCCTTAGTAGATCAGAACTGAATTATGTAAAAAAGCTGAACATGACTGTCACTGCTCAGAGAGCTTAGGTGGTGGACTGTACATTTAAGGTACTTCAGCACAGATGAATGTGTTATGATCCTTAATCATTGTCAGTATATCAAGCAGTTTAGTTAGCTGTTCTAGGTGGTAGTTGTTTAATCAGTGCAGCAGAGGTGAGGTGTATGGGGCAACAAGGCATTGAATTTCTGAAAATTTTGTAAGGCAAATTTTCTTCCACAGAGAGCACAGTGTGAGAGCATATGTGCATGACTGTTGCTAGCAGAGCAAAGATACAACTCAAGCTCACAATAGAGTGATTGGGTAATACTGCAAGTGTTAAATTTGAAGGACTTTGAATGCATTGGTTTTGTTTTTAATGGCATAAAAATTACATCAGTAGGAGAAGCTACTGGAATACTCAAGGAGTCACATTGATAATTTGGGAATTATCCAGTCAACAGTAAGTGGGTGATTTCCATGTCATCAAAAAAATCTGTGTTGAAATAAATCATCTGTCTATATACATGGCAGAATAAGACCGAGCTATATATAGCGGTATTTTAAAGCTACTCTTTGTATAGGGAGTACTAGTATGTCAGGAGGAGGACTGTGAAGGAAGTTACTGCACAAAGAATGCATTTCCTCTTTTTGTTTCTTTTTTCCCCACTCACTTCTCTGTCACACTAACATGCCTGAGTAACTTGGGACACTGTGGGCAAGAAGGGAGTGAGCAAGTACTAAGAACAGGTACTTAAAGGACTCCAGCAGAATGGGCTGACTGAGGCGCAACAGAGGAACAGAGTGTTGGTGTCAGCTCAGTAGCTGAACAGTCAAAAGACTTAGCTTTTCATCACCCTGCATTAAACCTAGTCTGAATAACTTTATTTTAACTGTAACATACCAGGCTGGGAATTGCCTTTCAGAATGAGATTCACTCCTGGGTCAGCTGTTGGTTTAGGAGCAAAGTTTTCTGTCATGAGGGGCAGAGATCGGTAACAGGAAATGCCTCAAACTCTGAGAAGCTAAGGGTTTGCCTTCTTGTATCTAGATTGTAATGGAAGAACATTGTGGCATAACTGCTGAAAATGATCTTTGGTGTTTTTTCTGAAAGGATTACTTGGCCTTGTTACTAAAAAATCCCCACTGTTTGGAAATACGCAGTGTAACGTGTCCATTCTGACTTGACATGATGTTTCTGGGGCCAGCAGTAGCCTTCTGTTTACTTCAGTTCAGATACCTCTTCGTGAAACCTGTAGCAAAGATGCAC